CTTTGTATATATGTTTGTGTTCACAACAAAATGCATTTAAATATCTCCATACTATATCAGTTGTCTAGAAAACGTAAATACAGGCTTAGATTTTAATAAAAAAAGCATTCGAATGCGTGCAATACACATTTATGTATAAAACCGATATAACCTGATAGTAAGTTCTTAAATCAGCGATTAGGTGGTATTTTTTTAGTTATGTGTGCAGCCTGCGTTAACTGTTTAAACTGGCGGAGCACTAGTGGAGGATCAGTTAGGGTCAGGTCAGTTGGCCCATCGTGACAAATTAACCAGGAATTTATCATGATGGTTTTCAGGATGAACCACATAAAGGTCAAGCTGGCATGGTACATTGCTAGCAATGGGTTGATTAGTGCTTATTACTAACAATCCCATTACATCCGTTCAATTGTAAACACGTGTATGCATGCTGAATAGTTACAGCATTAAGAATAAATATGTAATGAATCTAAACAAGAAAAAATGACAGGTCTGCGGCATGCGAGAACCAGAGCAGTACAAAGTAATCTTACTTCGTTACTACACGGAAAATATACTAAAAATGTATATCCTATTTGAGGAAGTAGGAACTGGTCACGTTTATTTAATTGGTCATTCTGTCGTCTGTTGGCGTCACGTTACATTGAAGGTAATACTTTGTAATGTTAATATCTTCTCTTGTAACTAAACGAAAATCTTACCAATATATTATTTTTATACTACGTACGTGGCAATGAAGCATACGATATATCTGATGGTAAACAGTTACCGTAGTCTATGGACGCCAAAACACCAAGGGTGTCTTGTCGCGTTGCCGACTTTTAAGAAACTTTAATATAAAAACCACATGCTGTAGTTTCGGGAGAAAACCTCGGCAGGTACTTCATTCCACAATCTTAAGTGTACGCGGGAAAAAGCTCTACTCTGAAACCACAATGTCCGAGACCCCTTAGGTTCTAGTGCGTAAGTGAATTCCCTGTTAATGGCGAGCGGTGCGATGGTAAAAGGTAGCTACAGAACACAGAACATTACGTTGTCAAGTAGTGCACGCGGCATCTCTCATGAGTTGGGAACTCACTTCTTGAGAAATAAGATGTTACGTTTGTTCTTTGCCGGCAGAAATGAGCGAAACAGAGGTACCCTTGTAAAAGACATTGTAGAAAGTACTTCGAGTAAAGGAAATATACTACTTACTTAAGAATTAATTAGGTTTATTAAAGTTTATTGGAAAATGCAATTCATATTCTACACAAAGGCACCAGCCATTTTCCACGAATTGTAATTAAAATATTAAGATGACAGATTTCACTCTCTTCAGATTAACAAAGGTTTATATATACAATGAAAGTAATAATTGGTTTGTCTAACAATTAAATTTGAAATAACTTTGAAAATGGAAATTGACAAGTCGTCTATATATAGAGAGGTATCTAATCAAATCAAAATATCTTTATTTATGTAGGTCTATTATAGACTCTTTTGATATGTTAAATCTAATCTGTCAGTTCATAGTGCATTCGAGCTATGACCTGACAAGAAACTTAGCTCAAATGAGCACAAAAATACAGATTCGTTTTTAAATACAATTATGAAGAATACAGTGACCACCATCATATGCTATCGCAATTTTGTCAAAAGGAAATAATTCAGTCAGGCCGTAACCCGAACAGACCAGCTACCACAAGCAGCACCTGTTAACGAGTATGACGGATGAGCCAGCCATCCTTGCACTCAATCATATCCGTATTAGGGGTTCTATTAAAAATAAAAATAGTGGAAAGCGTTAATACCATGAAGGTCGAAGTCAAAATTGTTCGTGACTTTGACCTTCACGGCCCTAGTAATATAATCATATCATTACATCAGAATCGCTAATGAATCCTTTATCAACAAGTAGACGTTAATAGATTGCCTAATAATGCATTAATAATCGGTGATGGAAAAGATATTAGTAATAGCCGATTCGTTTCCGTGACTGACGTGACAGTTAATACAATTAGTGCATTCCTTTCCAAAATAGTGCCAGAGTCCCCAATTTCCATCCTACTCACCAACTCAAACTATACTGATTAAAATCTTACAAGTAATAAGTGTTATTAAAAAAATGTATTTATTGCAAGAAAAAAAAAAGATTTTATATCTGATGGCATTCTCTACCAGCGAACCGCGACAGTATGGGATTTGTCTGGTATAGAATCAATATTTTTATTGTACTCACTTTTACTGAGAGTACAATAAAAAAATATATTGACAAATTTGTAAAAGGAAGATTTGATCTCATTTTCATGATTAGCTATGCGAAACCGGGGAGCTTAGGTAGTATAACATAATGTATATGTTATTATCTATGTGCTGATTAAGCTTTATAGCAATTGTATGTACTACATGTACCGTAATTCCATTACAAATGCCATAGACTATCACAAATTAACTGGTCCGAAATGTAGAGGCAGCAAGGCAACATTAACATTGCACAAGTTAAAATAATTACGTTTTATATCCACAAGTGAACATATTAACCTTGTTCCGTCACGAATTTAATCGTACAAGTGGCTTACATAAATTTGAGCATGTCTATTAATATGGGTATTTACGTACAATCGACACTAAAATATAGACTAAAGTATGCTCGCGTTTCATCACGCCGTTTTTTTTTTGTGGCCCACAACGGAATGACCTGATTTTAGTCATTGCACTTTTTGTGTTGCTACGTAGAATAAACTTGTGACTGCGGCTTTACTTATCGATATTATTTATTATTAGGTAATTCAAGTGCCCTTGACAACAACGAGGTAGTATAAAACCGGTTCCCAGTCGAGTGGGAGTATCGTAGTGTGGCTCGGATGGTAACTATTCACCTGAACAATCCTAGAGCGAAGTAATAGCATTTTTTGTAGTTATGGAATGATTCTGTATTATTTAATGGTATTCGTTGGAGGAATAACAGTAATAGGATTTACTGATGACCACGTAATCAGGTCAGTTAATACATCTTTGCGAAATAATCAGGAATTAACTACTGGTTAGTTGTGGAGATACATTGAGTTTAACATTATACTATCATCCGAAACTGGAGCCCCGGCAGCGTTTACTATTAAAGAGTCCTTTAAAAATATATATAACGCGTAACTAGGTTGGAAAGTCGCACAAAACCACTCGCTGAATCTATTGCAAATAAAGTATATTATATATTCTGTGATAAGGCTTACATTATCTATAAAAGATTCGTATTTCACACACGTGTTCCGAGATTGAAAGTAGATATCTGTTGCAGTGATGTAGGTAATTAATGGTAGATAGGTATAAGTCGTGGTAATTACTTTTGTGCGGTGGTATGTCATGTGTGTTGTGATGCAAAAATTGACTCTAATGTGTTCGCAATTAGTACTATTCTTGCATAACGTCTAAAGGTTTAGAAACGTCACTTTACAAGAATTATAATAAAAACTCAAGCTTGGTAAGACGCAGAGCGCGATGTAGTTCCAAACAAAGCAAAGTTTGTACTATTGTTTAGTAAATAAGACATAGCATTAATACCATATAATAATTAAATACATTTGTTCTTGTAATTACATAATATATATAGAAAAGCAATTGAATTTGCATTGATAGTGCCAATTATACTGCTGATAACATTTTAGCTTAAATATATTCTACACCAGGGGTTTACTTAAAATGGTTCATATAAAGAAAAACGCAATATAATTCGTGTAAAACAGCACAGTTTTAATATTAATAACAAAAATATATCACACGTCCTATAAAAGACAGTATGTCTACGATATTAGATACTTTACTGATTCATCAATGTGATTTGATTCTAGTGTAACATTTATTAAATTACGTAAAACAGTCTTGTTAGTCGGTGCAACTACACTTTGAACTGTCATAATTAGCACATATTTTAATGTAATGCCGTCATTAGAGTCTATTTCAATTTGAGTTATTATCAAAAGCTACCCGCCCCGGCTTCACACGGGTGTACATGTATTATATATATAAACATACATCTTGAATCACTTTATCTATTGCTATAACTGCTTCAAAATCCGTTGCGTAATTTAAAAGATCTAAGCGAACAGACTTCGTTTTATACTATGTAAAGAACATAAAAACAAACGAGATTACAAGTTACGTAGGCATTACATTTTAGTCTTCCAGAATGGCAAAGTGTGAGGGGTACTACCCGCGTCCCCTGTTGACCTGATATCTATGGTGCCCTTTATTAGTATAGGGGACGATTGCCAATTACCTCCAGGTATGGGCATTCCAGTTACATTAAAAAAAACAATTTAACTTATTATATCTATCTAAAACTTGTGCCCTATTCTTTCGAACTATTTTCTTATAATAAACTAGGTTTTAGTTCTTATGAATGAGGGTTAATTTTAATATAGTCTATTTACCAATTCACAATTGACGTATGTGGGCTCTAGGAAGACGTCACTCTTCGATTATTTTAGGGTAGGTGATTAAAAATGAAGATCATAATCTATATATGGGCTGTACGTTCATTGTCCTGATTGATTATCAACGCACAATCAATATTACTTATTCTAAAAAGCTGTTATTTGGAGAATATGCTTATTTGGGAACGCTTATTATACTCATCGTAAAGTGAGATACTGCGCAAGTAAACCCATCCGAAATATTTAGTGACGAATAAATACTGTCAGCAGAAGAGGAAACGCCACTATACATCTTATGTAGTTGTAGCCATCTCATGCATAACCGGAATATCTCCTATGGAAAGTATACCCTATCCTGAGGAGATAAAAACTGTCGCTCCTAAGAATATCCTTAAATTTTTGTCCCTCACGAATCTAAGTAGCGAACGAAATGAGCGAGCACAATAGATCTATGCAGGCTGCAGTGTTACAGGTCTTAACACTCCAGACAATAGCCCAAAACCCACTATAAAAAAAATGCTGTCAGAGTTGTAATTTATTGTGTTAACTGTGTTTTTTGACAAACTTTAAGTTCCTTAACGGCGCAAACAGATATTACTGATAGGCTCATAGCGATGGGCTTCCCTGCAGAGAAGTTGGAAGCCGTATACAGAAACCACATTGATGAAGTGTACAGGTTCCTCGAACAGATGCACAAGGACCATTACAAGATTTACAATCTGTGCTCGGAGAGGTCATACGACAAGAGCAAATTTCACGAGAGGGTGAGTACATTTTTTTTTTTTATGTTTACCTAAGTACTTTCAATTATTTCAGTACGATTGTATTTTTTTTGTGTGAATTATGCGATGTTGATGTGAAATCTTAACCAATTTGTATCATTCTTTTTACAATCGATAAGGTTTCCTCCTAATTAGTGCCAAATTTTGTCACTATTGGTAGAGCAGTGATTCTGATTTAGGAGCAATATAACTACTAATTAATTTACTTTTTAATTATAATGTTGTCTTGTACAAAGATATCTTACGTATTTGGGCAGAACTTTTTGCTCATTCTTCTTGGCCAAATCTGAATTCCGAGTAGTAAAAATAAGTTTATATACTTAATTGCACTTGTAACATTAAATACCAAATATAGTTATACAAATTATGTGCAAAGGTAATTACTATTCTAAGAGAGCTATTTCTAAAACCTATATTATGCTACTATAAAACAATCTACCTGTATTAGGTTTACTTGATTGAAAATGATTCCTATTCTAATCTTTCTCGAAATAATGTTCTTAAAGACGATGAGATAGGTCAGGATTTTCCTGGGTCAATTATATTATGGCATATTGTCATTGTTTCCTTTACACAGTGACGCTAATATATACTGAACAAGTATAACCATTGTTTGAAGATAAATAATTACAATCTTTCCTTGTATTGGTTTATTTAGCCTTAAAATTGTCCATTTGGGATCTTGACAATCCCTTTGTTAAGTATGTCCTAAGTACTCAGTTACTAATAACTAATACTACTAATACTAGGTATTTAGGACTAAGTATTAGAACTTAGTCCTAATATTTAGGACTAAGTTCTAAAACTTAGTCCTAAATACCTAGATACTTAAACTAAGTATCTGGGTCTTAACACGAATAATTTTATTTAGAACCCGGTTAATAATGTTAATAATGTATAATAAACACGAAGTTTAAAAATAACTAAATATCTAGGTTTGGCAATTGGTTTTTCATTATTAAAAAATAAGAGATATAAATTGACAATGTTTTTTTTGGTAGCGGACAAATTCGAATTCACGACCTTTTGGGACTAATTCGTGTTGTAAATCTAAGTAGGCTACGACGTACTCTATTTTTATTTATTATAGCTAGCTGACCAGGCAAACGTTGTTTTGCCATATAAATGTCGCTATTAAAAATAGGGGTTGATTGTAGAAGGGTGACAATTTAGGGTTGTCCAAGTGACAATTAGGGACCATCCTTATAACTTAGGGGTAGGAAAAATAGTTTACGTCATATTCACTTCTACTGAATATACACACAACATTTTATAAGAATCGGTTAAACCGTTTCGGATGAGTCTTACAAACTTATGAATGAATGAAACCTCATTATATATTTCTGTATAATCGAATAATTTGAGTATACTCATATATAATTGACAGCCTCGGTGGTCTATTGGTTTAGCACACCGCTTTACTATCCGATGGTCGCGGGTTCGATTCCTCGCACAGCACAAACATTTGTATTCATGAGTATGATTGTTTGTATCGGTCTGAGTGTTTTCTAAGTATAATATGTATGTATTTACGAAAAAAAATTATCTATGTATTTGTATCAGTGGTCTAGTACCCATAATGTGTTATATGGCTATATATATATAGCTTTAGTTTGTTTAATTTGGGTCTAGATGGCGCTGTGTGAATTGTCCTCAGATTATTATTATTATTATTATATATGTAAGGAGAGTAAAGTAAATAAACTGCAATGTATTCTATAATTGCAAATAATTATGTAAACACAAATGATGGCAATACTGATCCCAATTTGGTTATAATGAACGACAAGCCTTCTGAAGGTCATCAGGGACCTCATGGCACGCAATTATAAAACGAGTCACCTTTATAGGTCATTTCCGGTCATGTATTATGTTTTCATTATTACATGTGTTATATTCTAGCTTATCTCTGCATGGTAACGCGTACTATAGGTATATATATATGTCTGTGCTGACGTGCATCCAGTCATGTACACATTCGAGCGCTCTTCACGAAAGAATTGAAGAAGAATTTCCTTCTTCTATCTATTATGTGACTCGAACTCGTATACTCAGATAAACGTGTGAGTTTCGAGTTTATAATCCTTAATAATATTATAAAAGCGAAAGTAACTCTGTTTATATATCTGTCTCGCTTTCATGCCAAAACTGAACCGATTTAAATGAAATTTGGCACATAGTTAGTTTAGATTTTAGAACCTAAGGACGGACGGAGAAGGACATAAGCTACTTTTGGGAGTGAGTTTGTATGGAAATCGTAATTTTTTGTTTGTTTCGTTTTTTACGTAAGATTATTAAATATTTTTCTTTATTTAATCAAGGTCACTATAACATGCGGACGAAGTCGCTGGCACAGCTAGTACGAAATAATTACCTGTAATACTAACCTGTAACAAGTGTGATATTCATAATTTAGTAGGGACTTATTTAGTTATCAAATTAAGATCATTCCGTCATTTGACCTTAATTAATTAATAATACATACACATTAATAATTGAGACAATTTATTAATAATATTTATTTATTCAGTAAGCAATATGAATGTATATGAATACATACTTTAAAGATATCAAACCCAAACTCAAAAAATTTCATAAATAAGGACCTTTCGGCATCTTGTGCACCTCATATTTTTTTTTGTATGACTCAGTATGGAATGGTTCATCTGCACTAATGGTATACGCTGGTGGGGCAACAGTGGAGGATAATAGGAGGTGGATGGGATAAATTTAGGTCGGTTAGTCGTTGTGAATTCATCAGCCCAGAATTCATTTGCCCACAGCGGTTTCCACGGGGAACCGCGTGGAGGTCAACTTGTGCCTCTTACTAATAATCCTCCTTTATTAGATATTTAAAGATTCATATACATAAATGTAAATAAATTATAGTGACGATTTATATATGACGGTCTTAGTGGTCTAGCTGTTTAGCACACCGCTTTACTTCCGATGGTTGCGGGTTCGATACCTCGCACTGTACGAACATTAGATATGAGTATGATTGTTTGTATTGGTCTGGGTGTTTTCTATGTATATTATGTATATACTTAAAAAATATATAGATATATTATCAATTACCTTGTACCCATAACACAATCTCAATATCGGACTAGATGGCGCTGTGAGAATTGTCCAGGTTTATATAGTTTCCGAAGTCACAAGTAAACAAGAGTGATGACGGTAGTCTACGACAGCGCTGATATACCACTCCCTTCGACCGGTAACGCACTTTGTTGACATACATTTGATAGACGTCGGACTATTAATGTCTGGCCGGTTGAATCGTGAATATGATTATATTCGAGTCATGTGATTACGAAATTACTATCGAATTTTTATATCCAAACTAGCTGTGTCTCGCGTGGTGATACCGTATTAAAAGATAGACAATTTGATAAAACACTGAAACAATTCCTTCTTAATAAAATATTACAATATTTCAATGAAGATTTATAGTTATATTAGGTTTAATACAGACATTGGCATTATAATGATTGACTTTGAATTGGAAAGGTTTAGTTTTTTTAAGAGATTTTGTAATGTACATTTATTATATATTGTATAGGAGACATTTTTGACATTTGCATTATAATATTATGAGGTCTTGTTGTATATGAAAATATATATATTTATAATAATATACTATAGGTATGTTGTGTCATATTGCCATGCCCTTTCAGGGCGTAACAAAAAAATTATAAAAACTCAACCACACTTTGTATGCATGTCCTTTATATTTTTGTGATACTGCAATAAAATAAATAAATAAAGTATCCTGGGTTCTAATATGGAAATGATTTGTTTTCGTACCGAGATTTAAAATAATCTTTGCAGTAAGTTTTGCCTAAAACACTAGTATACTTTAATACTCGTATACCATTGGGGGAAGAATTTTGTAATATAAACTGATCAGCCCATTGTTAGCAATGTACCAACATTATTATCACTATATATCCCGGATCCCTCAGAAACCATCATGATAAATTCCTGATGGGCACGTATATATATGCACATATATATACTCACACATAGTTACGATGAGCTGACCTCATGTTCATCTTATCATCCTCCACTGGTGCCCCACCAGCTTATACCGTTAGTTCAGACGGATGCAACGTACTATAATCGTCCATTAAAAAAAAAGGAAAATTCATATAACCTCATAAACTTTCGCCTTTAAAATATTAATGGGATTAAATTAGTTTGTGTTTCTTTCAACAGAAACAAGTTTTAATAGTGATAACAATGTTGGTGTCACGAAATTTCACTTAGTCTAGACTTGATTTGATTTCCTCACTAATAAATAATATTCACGGAAATGGGTACGAATGGCGGAGGTATAACGCTGTTGTTTTCACGAAATGCAAGTGAGGCAACAGTTGACGGCCACAGTGGTATAGCGGTTTAGCACAGCGCTTTACTTCTGACGGCCGCGGGTACGATTCCTCGCAACGGCACAAAATTGTATACGATATGTAAATAATGTGACAACATGCCGAGGGAATAAGTCTAAACTTTGTAACTTTAATATTCCTTTGAACTGTTGTGATCATGTTTAAAGTACGTCTATACATATAAATAAAATAAAATTTAAGTGTGTTTGTAATTTAAATTGAACAGCTTTTGAAATGAATATGATAGTATATATGGTACTTACATAAAAAAAAATTGATAATTTTTGTCTGTCTGCCTGTCTGTCTGTTATTGCTAATCTATGAGTTAGCTGCATCAACGTTACTTTCACTCGCAGTTAATGTTATAAGGAATAACTTATGCTACTATTATTTAGTAAATTTATTTATTTTATTCAAAAAGTTCAATTCCACGTGAACAATGTCGTGGGTTACGACTAGTCTGAAATATATAAATAAGAGCCTATACGGTGGCAGTTTAATGACACAGTATTCGTAGAAAAGGGAGGAAGATTCCACGAATCGAGTAGTAGTTCAGTATTAATATATTTACAAATTATAATGTTTGAC